TTTAAATTGCTTCCGCACTATTGTTAAATACTCCGTATTTTGCTACAGTTATGTATTAAATAATATTTATGCTAAATAAAAGTATTTGAAATGTTTTAAATTTTACGATTACCAAGTTAATACTTTAGTCCGAAAGGGGCTGCAGACCTGGACGGATTAGGGTGTTACAATTTGGTATCAGAGCAAATGGTTTTAAAACCGATCTTCGGATCAAAAGTTTGTTTAAAAAAAATGATGTCAGTCAAATCCACGACTCTCGCATCCCTCTGCTCCAGGAAGGTAATAAAAAAAATTAAGTATTGAATTTGACTGTATTAAACCTTTATAGATGTCAACTGTTAATTCGGAAATGATATCAAGTGTTGATTCAAGTTGCACTTTCGTATTTGGTAAAAGACGAAAGAACAAATGAAATGTCTATGACTCGTTTATACGTTACCAACGTGCACATCGCTTCGCAAGAATAATGAAACGAAGGATTTATTTGCGCCGCAAGGCTGCATGGGAACGAGACGACCCGGAAGAGACGTTCAGCATAGACTCTGCCAACAGCGTATGTGGATCGGGCATAGAAGAACCATCTGTAGATTCGTCACGATCCAACCAATCGAACGCAAACGTTTAGAAATTTATCTTGTTGTTCATTTTAAATCCATCAGTTGTATCGACTGTTGTAATCCTTTGCAATTCCTGTCTTAAACTCAACTACTGAATAAAGAATCCTAATAAAGGAATTTCTATTATTGTAGAATGAGTCAAGAGTCTGCCCACGGACAAGGCAAAAACAATGAGCACGTTAGTGTTCACACTGAAGCATCTAGTTTCACCCCTCCCGTCCAAAATGAACCTGTCAATCAACAAAATGTTGGGAATAACCCAAACGCTGGTGGTCAACCCGACCTTGTGATCCCAACTTTTCTGGCTAATGTGTTACAACAAATAGCCAACGCGCCAATGTTTCAACCACCTCCACCACCGCCACCTCGAGTAATAACCTACAAAACTCTAAGGGATAACGGTGCAGAATTATTCCTTGGGGATCGCATCGGTGAACCCCAAATTGCGTGGGATTGGATCGAGCAGACTACTCGAGTGTTGAAGGATCTCAACGTACCTCTGGACAACTACCCGCGACTGGCTTCTCAACTGCTGCGCAATGAAGCCTACGAGTGGTGGAAAAGAACCGATGAGAGTGCGGGAACCCCTAAGCCGTGGACATGGACACATTTCGATTGGGCATTCAAGCAAGAATACATTCCGAAACGTTTTAGTGAGGAAAAACGTAAGGAATTTGTGGAGCTGGAACAAGGAAACATGACACTCCCTGAATACCGTCAGAAGTTCACCAAACTTGCAAAGTTTGCGCCAACCTTGGTGAGTACCCCAACCGATCACATTGAGGAATTCAGGACGAAACTTCGACCTGACCTGAGGTCACGAGTGTCCGTCTTAACCACCGTGGATTTCGCAGAGGCCTACGAGATCATAGCCAGGGCGGATAGTGACCTGAATGCTTGCATAGAGTACCTAAAGGCAAACAATGCTGGCCCAAACACTTACCATCCCACTAATTCTGCCTCAAAAGGAAAAAGGCCCTTCCAGGAATCTAGTAACTCACATTTCTCTAAAAAGGGAAAATCTATGCAAACTCAATCGATGGCATCCGTTGATAGATCCAGGAAGCGAAAGTATCCTGCTTGCGAACACTGTGGAAGGAACCACCTTGGAGAGTGTTGGTTGAAACAAGGGTTGTGCCTTGGCTGTGGAAAACGAGGACATTTCAAAAAGGAGTGCCCTACAAACCCTGGAGAACCATTTCCATCTGCTCCTGTTGCTAGCCAGTCTGCATCAACACGACCCGCACCAAGTCAACGCTCAACAGCAGGGTCTAAGCCAGCCAAGAATCAGAACCCACAACAGGGACGAGCTCCTGCTCGTACATATGCAATGAAGGCACGAACTGAGGAAAACCCTGACGTCATTCAAGGTATGTTTTCCTTATTTGATACTATCGTGCATGTATTGATAGACCCTGGATCAACATTGTCGTATATCTGTGTACATATGCCTGAAAAAGCTGACATAATGAAAGAACAGTTGGAACAACCTATACTAGTATCTCATCTCGTTTGCCATTATCAAAAAGGGGGAAATTGTTGAAACACGGGCTTGTCACGTTTTCGTACTAAAGTCGTGTTTGTTTTTATGACAGATTTTGATAATGCCAAATCGTTGTGATCAAGTCAAACATTGAATATACAAGGCGAAGAAGGAAGACAAGAACAAGAGCTAAAACAAGACCAAGAACGAAGACCTTAGTCTTAGTGTCGTTGAGTCGGTCTTCATTGTGATCAAGACCGACCCAATCTTTACACTTTGGCTCTTTAGGCTAAAATCCTTCATTGCATTTCTTAAATCATAAAAATGTTTTTCAAACATGTTTAAAACATTAAAAACACTTGGTGTTCGCCCAAACCAAAAACCAAGCCATTCGGCGTTCGGGTTTCAGAAACCGTCGTTCGGCATTCGGTTTTCGGCGTTGGTTTTTGGCGTCCGAACCAACCAAGTAGTTCTCAACTTTTTATGATTGGTTTTCACTCTTTGGCATGTTTAAACGGTTCTCCAACAAAAACACCTTGAAAACCATCTTTCGCTTTTGGTCGTTTGACAAAAATCATTCAAAACGACATAATCTTGGCTAGCCGTGGTTTTCACTCAAATGACAAAAATCATTCAAAACGACATAATCTTAGCCAAATACATCAAATAAGTGTTTTAAACACTTGGTTTTTATTTTGGAGAAATTTGAATTTTTCGGTCGGGTTTCGCATCGGTTGGCTAGGCCGTGGTTAAGGCAAAAACCATGGGTTCTTGACTAACCACCCACCCAGCAATGGGAAGATCTTCCCATCGATGGGTAAGCGGTCCCTAAGCCAAACCTACGTCCAGAACCATGCCAAACAGCGATGGGGAGTTCTACCCATCGCTGTTAAAGCCTTGGTGCAATATTAACACAAGGCAGAACGACCTTACCCAGCGATGGGAAACCTATCCCATCGATGGGAACCCAACGATGGTAAGGGTATACCATCGATGGGAAAGCTTGACCGTTGGTGGTCATTAAAGGTTGATTCTTTCTTTGTTTGGAAGTCAACCTCCCACCCAGCGATGGGAAGCTTGTACCCATCGATCCCATCCACTGGCAACTGAAGTTTTGACTTCTTTTTAACCGAATGGTCGCTACCAACTCAGATTTGTAGCTACCCTTCGGTTATAAGACGTCTAGGGTTTAGAAAAGTTAGGGTATTTAGTTCGGTTAGTGGGGAAATTACGTAACCTCCGTTGGAGCCTTCTTTGGCACTATAAAAAGGGGTGTTTGGGTCTGCTTTTATTACCAATTCACTTCACAACATCTATACTTTCATTGCATTCAAATATCATCATTTTCCATAGCTTTCTAGAGCCATTTTTGTGTGAAGGTTGAGTTGTTCTTGAGCGTACTTAGTTTACTCATAATCTACTCTATAAGAGAGTCTTGTTCTTGAGTGTACTTGTGTTCTTAGACACGTTGAGAGATAGTATCTCTCTCGGTTGATTCAAAGGAAGGTCTGTTTCCTTTGAAGGATTCGTTGAGGTTTGTGTGACTCGAACTCTCAAGTTGTAACGGTTTGTTAAGTACCCGTAAGCTTAACGAGTTAGTAGTGTAGCTCGAGAGAGTCTCTCGGGAGGCTGGATTAGCCACAAGTTGTGGTGAACCAGGGTAAAATTCGGTGTGCCTTTTACTCTTCTCTTTACTTTTAATTTTTTAATTCCTGCGATTTCTCCGATCAAACGCTATTCACCCCCCCTCTAGCGTTGGTCTATTATTCTAACATACCGAACCGAAATATTTGGTACGGTATCGGTACGAGCCAAATACCGTACCATACCGTACCATGCTCACCCCTACGTAGATCTCTATTTTTAGTTTTCATTTATTTTTTATTTTACTCCTACTTTGGGTATATAAGTTTGGAACTCCTACTTTGAGTATATGATTAATGATTTACTCCTATTTAGGGGGTTTTCTTTTTCCATATTAATATTTCAAAGAGTACACAAGAATGTAACTTCATTTTATAGACAATTATAGATGAATACTACGTATGATATTACCTGAAGTGTATATTGTGTAAATTTATTCGGTTGGATAAAATTATTTTTTGAAAAAATCTCAAATTTATTGTGTGTTTTTGGTAATATGTGGTACAATATGATTTTTTTCAAAGAAAAATAATTCCTATCAACGATGAAAAGAAGGAGAAATGATTTTCGTTTGATTTTGCACTCTCTATCTTACCCCCACCCCTCTACTCGGCTGGGGCCACTGCACCCTCCATCCACTTCCACCCGCCCCGTCCACTTCCACCCAGTCCACCCCCTTCCCTTTGCCCCTCGCCACATGCCACCCACGGAGCAAACCCGTCCTCTTACTCCTCTCCCACCCTGTCGATAGGATCTTGCGCCGCCCGCTAGCTCCTTATGTTGCTAAAACATTTTTAACTTGTCCCAAAATATTTTTAGTTATGAGTTTTCAAACATCAACAATGAAAAATATTTTGAAATCCTTTCTACTAAACAAGGAAAAATTTATCTGAGAGAAAATAATTTTAATTTGCCTATATTTTGTAAGTTTCTCCTAATAATAAATATTTCTCCCTATCAAACACATCATTACTGTGGAAAATTTGGAGAGAGTAAAACTCCTATTGGAGAACCCTCTTTTAATTTCTTTGAAAATGACGAATATCTTCTGCACTAAATAGCACCTAAACCAAAAGTGAAACATTATAATAATAATGGAAGGTCCAAAAACAAAAATACTCCCCCGTTCCACAAACCCCTTTCCCTTTCGTTTTTTTTGGATTCCTTAAAACACTTCCTCTTTCTATTAAAAAACCACTATTACCTTACTTTTTCATACCCTACCTATCATATCATACTTTTTTACTAGTAAAATTTGCACTAAATAGGACTAAAACATAATGACTTTTCTAATGTAGAACTTAAACTTTTTTATTCCCTAAATAGGACTTAATAATGACCTAGTGGGAAGAATAATGTCCAGTAATAATGGATATTTACTTGAATAATGACTACTTGTTAATGACCAAAAGTCCTACATTGGCAAATAAAAACATATGGTCCTATATTGGAAAAGTCATTATGTTTTAGTCCTATTTAGGTAAATTTCTCCTTTTACTAATAACCAAACTATCACATTTTACTTTTACCCATCACATCAGGAACAAAATTGGAATGTCAACCAAAATTATACTCCCTCCGTCCCAAAAAGAATGGGACGGTTTGACTTTTTGAGAAATTAAGGGAGGGATATTTTGGTATTGACTTTCCAAAAATACCCTTGATGTGATGGGTAAAAGTAGGATGTGATAGGTAGATTATTAGAAAAAAGGTATGATGTGATAGGTAGGGTATGAAAAAATAAGGGGTAAAAGTGGTTTTTAATAGAAATGTAACGGACTTTACGGGACGCAGTTTTTTCTAAACGTAACAAACTTTTTGGGACGGAGGGAGTAATTATCTTATTTTAGCTCAAAGTCAAAATGGGAAGAGTTTAAAAGAACGGAGAGAGTATTAAAACAAAATTAAAATTGGAAGGAATTGAAGAAGAAGAAGAAGAATAAGTGAGTATGTAAAACTAAACAAGAAACGAATGCGTGGAAGAATTAAGTAACATACTCCGTATATAAGATCGATCATCAAATTATACAACGTAACTTATACCCCATGAGGCCGGCCAGGACAGATATCATTTCAATTCCTTAACCTCGTAGTATATGTTTAAGCTATAAAATTTCTACACGGACAAATTTATAAGACTCGTGAGATTAATTATCATTATCATCAGCACGTACCCAACTTAACTTGATGCTCTTAATATGTTAATTCAAGCTAGGGGTAGTTGTACATAAGCTCATCATCATCATAGAACATGCTTTCCACTACCTCTTGAAAGGGAGCGCCGCCGCCGCAATCTACGGCGGCTCCACCGGCCGCCTCCACAAACACCCCCCGTTGCGGCTGCAGTGGCATATACGACAGAGGCACTCCGGCGGCGGATGAGTGGGCATGAAGCCACTCGTCGTCAACCGCCGCCGGAATCCCAGTTTCCGCCATCAGCTGGTAGTGGTCGACGGCGTTGCCGGCATAATACTCATTGTTGTTGTTAATGCTGGTGGCGATGTTGGAGGCGATGTTGCTGCTGTTGCTGCTGCTGTTACTGTTGCTGTTGCTGTGGTTGCTCTGGTCTGACACCGAGTTTATCATGGCCTCGTGGAGCCATATCTGGGCCTTGAGGAAGTTGACGTAGTGAATCGCCCCTTCCAGCATAGAGACGGTGTCCATTTTGGTGCCGCCGGGGACGAGGCTCTGCAGGATCTTGAACCGGTCGCTGATCCGGTGGCGCCGCTCTCGGGCCGCCACGCTCTGCCGGTCGGTCGACAGCTTCGTGGCGGCCTTCGCCCCACCAGCGGCGGCGGAGGGTTTTTTCGCGCCGCCGTGCCTCTTTCTCTCTTTGACTGGCTGGTGGTAATCCGCCATGGGGTTGCATGGCGAAAAGGAAGCTTCCATTGCTGTTTTTGATTGGATGGGTTAATTGGGAGATCAGATCCGATCAGAGATGAAAAGGTGAGTTCAGAGAAATGAGATACGTTTATATATAAGCCCGAGATTGTCGCTAGCTAGAAGCATTTTGACTTGCATAACCTTTTGAAAGCGACTTCTTACCGACATTCAGTTGTAAAGAGAGTCATTATTAGGTATTCATTATCGGGTCTTCCATTTCCTCTATCAAATCATTTTATTATTATTTCTTATTTATAATAAGCTTAGATCGATTAATTAATCATTTGAGTAATAACCAAAGGTTATCTTCATTATAACGAGTTAATGTAAGTAATTTTTCAAAGTTTGGACTTTCTCTATCTATTCTTTAATTTTTTGTTGAAATAGTTAACGGGTATATTTGGTTGGAAAAATATTTTAGCCAAAATGTCATTTCTAATTTTTTACGTTTGGTAAATATATAATTTTTTTCTCAATAAAAAGTAAATATTTTTTGACAGTTATGGAAATGAAGATGCTTCGTTGGATAAGCGGTCACACGCGTAAGGATATAATAAGGAATGAAGATATGAAAGGTAAAGTTGCATGGAGTGACACCTATTATAGGAAAAGTAGACCTAAGAGTACTTGGCCTCCGTGTGAAAAATCTCACAGCAGGTATGACTCACGATAGGGCGCAATAACGTCGTTTGATCCATGTAACCGACCTGTTGAGTGTTACTTCAAAGTCCCACATCGGTGGTATAGGAAAATTGAGAAGGTATTGGAGCCTATAAATAGAGAGAGTGTATAGGCTTCCAACACACAACACAATCATTTAATCTATATAATTGTGTATTAGATTTTAGATTGTGAGTGTCAAATATTGGAGAGGGTTTGTAATTTTTCCGTGCAAAAATTACTAGTGAGATTTTATCCCAGAGGGGGTCGTGGAGTAGGTCTTGAGGTGCCGAACCACGTTAAAAATTTTGTGTGCTCTTTTTTCTTTTCTTTCCATTTGTTTGCAGTAGGGGGGCCTAACATGTGGTATCAGAGCCCAGGTTCTTGCGGGCGTGAGCAGCGGACTGTGCGGTGTGGAAAAATCTTGGTGTGACGGTGTAACAATAGGACCAAGACCAAGAAAGAGAATCTGCAGGTGGTGCCCTTGTGTCGAAAGTCTTCCCGACGAGGGGAGGTCGGGCGGCGTGTCCCGTGAGGCTATAGCCACGGCGGTACAAGATGATTTGGCGGGTCAAATGGTGTAGCCCAGCGAATGAAAGATCTGCGGTTCGAGCCTTGCGTCGAAAGTCTTCCCGACAGGAGGTCGGGCGGCTTGTCCTGCAAAGAGTGTGCGGCGGTGCAAGATGGTAATTAGCAGATAAAAAGAAAAAAATGGATTACCGCTGGAGGGGAGGTCGGAAATTGTGTGGTCCTTGGGGGAGGGGAGGTTTGTTGGGATCCCTCCAAGTCCCACACCGGAGGTATAAGAAAAAATGGACCTAAATATATAGGATCACCCAACCCCATTAGTATGAGGCCTTTTGGGAGGTGCCCAAAAACAAATCCGTGAGAGCTTGGCCCAGAGCGGACAATATCATACTAATGCGGGGTTGGGGTGAGGGCACGCGCAGTTCCTGTTAGGCCCCCCCCTACTGCAAACAAATGGAAAGAAAAGAAAAAAGAGCACACAAAATATTTAACGTGGTTCGGCACCTCAAGACCTACTCCACGACCCCCTCTGGGATAAAATCTCACTAGTAATTTTTGCACGGAAAAATTGCAAACCCTCTCCAATATTTGACACTCACAATCTAAAATCTAATACACAATTATATAGATTAAAGGATTGTGTTGTGTGTTGGAAGCCTATACACTCTCTCTATTTATAGGCTCCAATACCTTCTTAATTTTCCTATACCACCGATGTGGGACTTTGAAGTAACACTCAACAAATCTCCCCTTAATTCAAAGTCCTACATCATTTGCGATTTCTGCAGCGATACTCCCATCCTGCAGAATCTTCTATCCAGCAGTACTCTTATCTTCAGAAGAGATCATCTTCATAAGTGATCACATTTGCAGAAGAAGCTTCCTTTGATTTGCCCTTCTTCTCCTTTAGGATCTGCAAGTCCTCCTTGAGTTCTGGACAACCGTTCTTCGTGTGACCAAACTTTTCACAGTAATAGCACCTAACAGTGCTCATGTCTCTCAGCTGAGATCTTCTCCGAAGTTGGTCACTCTTCTTCTTCCTTCCTTTCTCAACACTCAAAGCAGCTAGTAAATGACTGTCCCCGAAAGACTCTTCACCTCCCATCATCCTTTGACTCTCCTTTAAGGCAGTCGTCACCTCATCTAGTCGTAGTGTAGTCCTTCCTGCTATCATTGACTGCACAAATGGTTTAAAGGATTTTGCTAGTGAAGCCAGTAGAAGCAGCCCTTGCTCTTCATCCTTGATGGTCTCCCCTGCATTTAACAGCCTTGATACTTGCTCGTTAAACTTGTTGATGTGATCAATTACGCTACCTCCCTCTTCCATCTTCAGTGAGTACAAGTCCATCATCATCATCAACCGATTAGTAAGTGTCTTCGACGCAAACTTGCTCTCCAACGTTTCCCACAGCTTCTTTGGTGATGTCTCTTTCAGTACAGTCACTTTAATATGTGGGGACAGTGCCAACCGAATTGTGCTGACAGCCTTCTTCTAGATTGTACTCCACTCTGGTTCTTTCATATCACTTGGCTTCTCATCTTGCAATGCTAATTCAAGACCTTGCTGGACCAAATAGTCTTGAATAGTGCATTGCCACAACATGAAGTCCGTTCTTCCATCAAATAACGGAACTTCAAACTTCAAGGAAGCCATAGTTCCACTCAAGCAGCAATCAACCAATACCAAACAATCCAATTTTTGAGGAAACTGGCCTCAAAAATGGAATCAGGACGTCAAAATTAGTCAGAACCAACTTCTTTCCAAAAATCACCAACGGGACCCACACGATGACTGGACCTGCTGACGTGGCGATGGGACCCACTGATGACTGGGCCTGCTGACGTGGCAATGACTAGATGATGACGTGGCACTTGAGACCCACAAACTGCTAACGTGGCACTCATGGACCCACCTCTGCTGACTGACCACCACCTCCTCTGTTGAAGTGGTACTCCCTCCTCTTGCTCCTTCCTCTATCTCCTTTCTCCCTAAACTGCAACTCTGTAATTAATAATTCTTTTCTGATGTGGAAGATCAGTCAAAGCTGCAACCACAGAGCATACTAAGAATTATAATTACCAGATCACCTTGGCTCTGATACCACTTATAGGACCTCAAGCGCTACCAACTCTTCTAAAACCAATTGGTGTTAGAAGTGGCGCATACCCTAGCCTTATAGTGTATTCAACTCACAAGTGCCCACGATATTCGATTGTGACTTGGCCCACATAGCCTCCGCCACGGGACAATTGCTGCACACATGGCCAACAATCTCCCGCTCAGCAATTGCTCCCGCTGGGAATCGAACTCATTATGGAAATGAAGATGCTTCGTTGGATAAGCGGTCACACGCGTAAGGATATAATAAGGAATGAAGATATGAAAGGTAAAGTTGGAGTGACACCTATTATAGGAAAAGTAGACCTAAGAGTACTTGGCCTTCGTGTGAAAAATCTCACAGCAGGTATGACTCACGATAGGGCGCAATAACGTCGTTTGATCCATGTAACCGACCCCACCTAGTGGGTTAACGCTTTGTTGTTGCTTTCAAAAGAAATTCATACTCACTCTTAGGAGTTCACTCGGGGTCCCTCTCTTCTCTCACCCCTCGCTCCATGACCCTTACCCCAAACTGGAACCCACACCACCGTCCACCCTACTACCCCATCCCACCTCTACTACCGCCTCCCCTTAGCCCTAATGTTAGATACTCCCTTGATTCCATAAAAAAGTTTAACCTTTAAATTGGCACATAGATCAAGGAAAGTAAAATTGTGTAGATTCAAATGATACAGATGGAGAGAAATTTTGAAGGCCACAATTTTTTTTTGAAATTAGAAAGTAGAAACTTTTTTGAGGGACAAATTAAAAGGGAAATGTGAAACCCTTTTATAGGACACGGGGAGTAAATCAAATATATATACGATGACCTTATATTTATTGGGTTCTGATGCAATTATTCATACATCTATATATAGTGTACATATCAATCTTACATGTTACTTGAGGAATACAATTACTCTATCATTATATTGAATTGGAGCAAGGGTTCGCCGCAAAAAACCTAGCTGATGGGATTTAGCCCAACAATTATGGCGTGCGAAGAACATATAAGTAATAAGAATACCTTTGAAGGGAATGAGAACTCTTATATCTTTGTATTAGTTTTTTGAGCCTGCCTTACAATTGAGGGGTTACCCCTATTTATATTCTACTTCTACCATCTATAAGGCATGTAATATTTTGTGATACATTTGAATATATGTTAGAAATACGTAGAATGATGCCTTTAAAATATAAAAATGCGTCTTTAATAAGTTCAAGTGCAAAATGAGTCTATTTGAAAAAACAAATTGTTATTTATTAGTTCAAATGGCAGACCGATATGTACTATGATGTTGGTTTGAAGGCAAACTATTAGTCAAATTTGTATCACACTTGTTCTCAATACAATGCATTTGCAGTTTTTTTAAACATATTTTTGTTAGTTCCATATTGTGTTGGGATTATTTTTTGACAAACGAATAGATTTATCTAGAATTATTTTAGATATTTTATTTAGACTTAGAGTCCTATCATGTGAAGGAAGAGAAAGAGGAAAGAGCTTGAAGAGAGAATTCTAATCCTACTTGAATTCTAATCCTACATGGTTTACTATTCTTGAGGAGGAAGGCATGGTTGAGACTCCTAAGCACACTCTAACAAGGTTAATATTCTCTATATATTATCTTCTCCCTCCCTTAGAGTTGTGTGGTGAAAAAATACGAAACTATTGAAGCAAATCCGAAAATAGGAAGAACAAGGTGTAGAGTTTGACAG